AGTGGTACTACCAAGGAAGAGCTGGAAGAGCATTTTACAACTAATTCGATTAACTGGCAACAGGTCAGTAACATGATTAGGTATAAAAAAGAGCATCTTAGAGAGTCAGTTCTCAGATGTAAAGATGGGCAGAGGTTCACCAATCTGCAAAAAGCTGTCTCTAAAATTTGTCGAACAATTTCAGATGTTCATGTTCTTCAACACAAACTTGCAAAAACCTTAACCATTAGCCTACAGGGCACTTATACCCCCTTCCTGCCCAGGCCAATTTCCAGCTTTCAGCGCTGTCACACTTTGAATGACAATTGTACAGTCATGCAACACTGTACCCATATGATATTTTTATCATTTTTTTGAGACAGATAGAGCTTTCTTTTGGTGGTATTTAATCACCTCTGGGGTTTTTATTTTTTCTTAAACCAAAAACCACTGAAAATTTTGAAAAAAAAAATGTTTTTTCTTAGTTTTTGTTATACAGTTTTGTAAATAAGTGATTTTTCTCCTTCACTGATGTGCGCTAATGAGGCTGCAGTGATGGGCACTGATAGGCTGCACTGATGAGGAGGCACTGGTAGGTTGCACTGATGGGCATTGACAGGCATCACTGATGGGCACTGAAAGGCAGCACTGATACATGACACTGATATATGGCACTGATAGGCGGCACTGACTGGCACTGATAGGCAGCACTGACTGGCACTGATAGGCGGCACTGATTGACAGCACTGTTAGTTGGCACTGATTGACAGCACTGATAGGTGGCACTGATTGGCATTGATAGGTGGCACTGACTGGCACTGATGGGTGACATTGAAAGGCAGCTCAGATGGGCACTGATATGTGGCATTGATGTGCACTAGTATGCACTGATATGTGGCATTGATGTGGCACTGGTGAGCACTGACTGCTGGCACTGATGGACACTGACAGGTGGCACGTCTGGGGCCACACTGATCATCAGTGCTCTGATGATCAGTGTACATGTCCCCTCCGCGGAAAGCCGATTACTGGCTCTCCTCACCTCTCGAGCTGTTAGCGTGACAGCTCGATAGGAGAGAAATGGCAATAACCGGCATTTCCGTGTTTACATGTGATCAACTGTGATTGGACACAGCTGATCACATGACCGAGCCAACATCTTCGGCTCTTTCCGTGATCCGCTGTGTCCGAGGGACACAGCGCACTGGCAATCGCCGCGCTGAGCACTCCCTGAGCCACGCATGCGCAGTGAGAATGGAAGGACGTCATATGACGTCCTATCAGAACGAGAGAACCACCTTGCGCCCGTCATTGTACTATATGGTGGGCAGAAGGTGGTTAAAAACAATCTACAGTTCCTATCATCAAAACTTTCCAAGAATCTGGAGAAATCTGTGCGCAAGGGACAAGGCCGAAATGCAATATTGGATGCCCGTGATATTCGGCCCCTCAGACAGCACTGCCTTATAAACGGGTATGATTCTGTGATGGCCATCACTGCATACACTCAGTAATACTTACAAAAATTACTGTCTGTGGACATAGTTTGCTGTGCCTTAAAAAAATGCAAGTTAAAGCTCTATCATGTAAAGAAGAAGCCATATCTGAACATGATCCTAAAATGCTGCCGCCTTCTCTGTGCCAAAGCTCATTTAAAATGGTCTGTTGCAAAGTGGAAAACTGTTCTGTGGTCAGATGAATCGAAAGGAAGAGGGACCTTCCAGCTTGCTATCAAAGCTCAGTTCAAAAACCTGCATCTCTGATGGTATGGGGGGGGTGCATTAGTGCGTATGAAATTAGCAGCTTGGCATCTGGAAAAGAGGCACAATCAGAACTGAAAGATATATCCAGGTACTAGAACAGCATATGCTCTCATGCAGGCAACATTGTTTTCTGGGAAGACCTTGTAAATTTCAGCAAGACAATGCTAAACCGCATACTGCATCTATGACAAGTAGAAGAGTCTGGTTGCAGAACTGGCCTGCCTGCAGTCCAGACCTTAAATATTTGGTGCATCTTGAAATGAAAAATATGACAAAGGAGACCCAGGGCTGCTGAGCAGTTAGAATCCTGTAACAGGTAATCCTATAACAAGCAACAACATTACGCTCCCAAAACTTCAGCAAAAGGTCTCCTCAGTTGCCAGACATTTACAGAGTGTTGTTAAGAGAAGAGGCGATGATACACTGGGGAAATCATGGTCCTGTCTCAACTGTTTTGAGACATTCTGCTGCCATTAATTTTATAATTGCCTTCTTTTTTTTTCCTAAAATGGTACATTTTCTTGGTTTAAACATTTGATATGTTTTCTATTTTCTATTGTGAATACAATATGGGTTTAAGAGGTTTGCAAATCATTGTATTCTGATTTTATGTAGATTTTACACAGTGTCCCAATTTTCTTGGAATTGGGGTTGGACATATAGGTCATATAAGCCAGGTGAGAGCTTTGGGGGAGAGGAATTCACAAGGTGAAAAGCCGTGGATTGCAATTGATGGCACAGAGACGTTTAATTTCCAGCACAAGGGATAATATATGTGACACGTGTGAACTTTTTTCTTTGGAATAAACAGATGTTTGCTTGGTTAAAGAGACAAAGAGCACAGCGTTTATGTATTTTATATTGTTACATTGTGATGATATACGGTTAGTGGTATCTGAATGGTTGTAGCGCTGCACTTATTTATATATATATATATATATATCATCTTTCTTACGCAGGTTAGTCAGAATAGGTGTCAGGAGAGGGAGGGAGCATTTTTAAGATTAGTTAGCTACAGTTACAAGAAAAAGTATGTGAACCCCTTGGGATTATGTGGAGTTTTGCATGAATTGGGCATAAAATGTGCTCGGAACGTCATCTAAGTCACAACAATAGAAGAACACAGTCTGCTGAACATAATACTACACAAACATTAGATGTTGCCATGGTTTAATTGCACATAACATGTAAACATTCACAGTGCAGGGAGGAAAAAGTATGTGATCCTTTGGACTTAATAACTGGTTGACCCTCCTTTGGCAGCAATAACCTCAACCAAACGTTTCCTGTAGTTGCAGATCAGACCTGCACAACGATCTGGAGTAATTTTGGACCACTCCTCTTCACAAAACTGTTTCAGTGTAGCAATATTCTTGGGATGTCTGGTGTGAATCGCTCTCTTAAGGTCATGCCACAGCATTTCAATCGGGTTGAGGTCAGGACTCTGACTGGGCCACTCCAGAAGGCGTATTCTGTGCTGTTGCAGCCATTGTTTTGTTGAATTACTTGTATGCTTTGGGTCATTGTCCTGTTGCCTCACCCATCCTCTGCGGAACTTCAGTTGGCGGAGAGATGGTCATACGTTTTCCTGCAAAATGTCTTGATAAACTCTGGAATTCATTTTCCCATCAATGACAACAATCCGTCCAGGCCTTGAGGCAGCAAAGCAGCCCCAAACCATGATGCTCCCTCCGCCATGTTTTACAGTGGGGATGAGGTTTTGATGTTGGTGTGCTGTGCCTTTTTTTCTCCACACATAGTGTTGTGTGTTCTTCCCAAACAACTCAATCTTGGTTTCATCTGTCCACAGTATATTTTGCCAGTAGTGCTGTGGAACATCCAGGTGCTCTTTTGCAAACTTCAAACGTGCTGCAATATTCTTTTTGGACAGCAATGGCTTCCTCCGTGGTGTCCTCCCATATACTCCATTCTTGTTTAAGGTTTTCCTTATTGTAGATGTGTCAACTAAAATGTTAGCATGTGCCAGAGATTTCTGTAGGTCTTTAGCTGTCACTCTGGGATTCTTCTTTACCTCATGCAGCATTCTGCGCTGTGCTATTGCAGTCATTTTTACAGGACGACCACGCCTAGGGAGAGTAGCAACAGTGCTAAACTTTCTCCATTTGTAGACAGTCTGTCTTACCGTGGACGCATGAACATCAAGGCTTTTGGAGATACTTTTGTAACCCTTTCCAGCTTCATGCAAGTCAACAATTCTTGATCGTAGGTCTTCTGAGAGCTCTTTTCTGCGAGGCATGGTTCACATCAGACAGTGCTTCTTGAAACCAGTAAACACAGGTGTGTGTTTTTTAAGGGCAGGACAGCTGTCAGCAACACATCCAATATCATCACACTGATTGGAGTCAAGGTTGGCTCATTCCTGGCTCCAATTAGCTCTGGGAGAAGTCATTAAGCTAGGGCCTCACATACTTTTTCCTCCCTGCACTGTGAATGTTTACATGTTATGTGCAATTAAACCATGGCAACATCTAATGTTTGTGTAGTATTATGTTCAGCAGAGACTGTGTTCTTCTATTGTTGTGACTTAGATGACGTTCAGAGCACATTTTATGCCCAATTCATGCAAAACTCCACGTAATCCCAAGGGGTTCACATACTTTTTCTTGCAACTGTATAGCCTAGAATCCCACTTTAAGTGTATGTAAATTCTAACAGTAGGTTGAATGAGCCTTGTCAACACTAGGACAGAAAATGTGTTAATGGAAGAAATATACCAGGTGAAAATGAAAAAAGAAAAAAAAAGAAAATTAATGCAGCTGCCACATCTAAGGACTGGTAAGCTGCAATATAATACATTGTTTTGGATGGATTAGATACACAGTAAAGTTATAAAGTTACAGATAAAGTTATTTTTATTTACTAACAAAATTTGCATTCTGGAAATATGTATAAAAGAAAAAACACCATCTCAAAATCATCAGTACATTTAGAGACACGGGCAATAGAGCCAGGCTCCATCCCCTTTTAAGCTTCCCTTTTGGTCAGGAGAGGAGAGGAGGTTTACTAGGTGCCATTGTTACAACAGAAGCCGACATCAACATAAAATATCAATTCCCTGTACCTCTAGAACTAGCTATAAGTTTAGCATGTCATTTCCATTAAAGGTAACCTCTGCCTATGCATTTTACATCTCTTCTCAGACTGCATTTCCCAGGACTGGGACAGTAACAGACAGACATTCTTGCTAACGGCAATGTTATTTTTGTAAATAAGACAAAAGAAGTTGAAAATTCTTACCTCGAAGACACAGAAATGTGAGGAAATCCTCAGTCTTGGGCTTGCGTTTGGAGAGGTCGGACATCTGAGTAACTGGTGGGGGTAGCAATGGCTCCACAATTTTAATGGGGGTTGTGCTCGGACTGTTTGGCTGGGATTGGGCAAATTTTCTTTGTGCTTGCAGCCTTGGCCTGTAGAAAAGTGGACCATAAATTTGGTAAGATAAGTAACCTCGGTCACATGGAAGAACACATTTAGGAAAATGATCATATTCTAATTTTAGTTCATGATGTAATATAGAACATTTACATTTTAACATCTAAAACTCTCCTGCCTGCAGATTCATATTGGAAACCCCAGTAGCATTGTGGTAAGTAGGCTATTTTCAGGCTTAGCTGGTTTAAAACAATATTTGAAAAGTTTTCATCAAGACACATACTGAAAGCTGAAACCTATAGGCTTTTATGATTTTTAAAAAACTGATAACATTTGTCAGCAAATGTGTTTGGCTCCAAGAGTTGTGTCCTTACATAAAACAGACGTTTAACTTGTCCTGATGACAACATGAAGTGTACAAAAAACAGACCTCGCAGTTTGGCGCACCTGGCCTAATATGAAACTACTACATTACTAAGAAGCAGGGAAAAAAAACAAACAGATGAGATCACATGACAAAGGTAAATAATAAAATGTTTATTTGGAGACCACTTTGGTAAACAGTTCAGAAAAAAATATGTGTGCTAGATTATTTTGCTAGTGATGTAACCCTACTGCATACTATGTTCTTGTTTTCACTTGATATTTGCTGAATAGGCAAACAGGCCAGTCTGTGCATCGCATCATCTGTGCAGATCCCATACAACTGACATCAGATCAGTCCTGGACTCAAACTGAAATTGACCATACTGGATTGACTCCACACTGAAAAGTGTAAATTATCTAACCTTTTAATAGATGTGTGCTTTCATTAAATAAATCCTCAAGAGATTTCTAAACAAATGCATATTGCGTTTTTGCCCAACCCTTTTTGCCTATCAATGAATCTTCCACCAGCACCTTTTTAGTTATTCAGAGCTATATTGGGCCTTAAAGCATATTTTATTTTCACTACATTCAGCATATTGCCAGATTCTTTGCACTGCATTATTATATAGTAAACATTTTGCTAACTTTTTTATATTTTTACGTCTGCTGTTTTCCAGTGAATATACTGGATCCACACTGGAGAAAATCATATCTTTACACTAGTTTTGTTTTTATTCAGTAGTATTTTGCAGTGCCAGTCTGGCTTAGGACAGTTTATTATCTACTAGGTTGTCTCCTACCATCAAACTATCCATAATTTGACATTTTACACAACTTAAATTAGATAATAAGCCCCCAGATCCCTGAAGAGATCAGTGAATGTATAAATAAGGCTGCAGATGGAGTACATTCACAATGTAGCATATGTCCTTAAGCATCACTAATTCACTGACATTTCTGCACTACTTCAAACTCAATTCCAAAACAGAGCTCATGTTTTCCCCCCTGCATCCCCTTCTCAAATTTCTTCATCAAAGTCAGAAGGTTTGTAAATGTGCTTTCACACTGCACCCACTGCGCTTTGGCCACAGTGTGGGTGCAGCGCAGTGTACCCACAGTTTTCGTGCAGGTTAGCTGCGTTTTCCCATTGACTTCTCTTATGTCCTTTCAAAAAGTGCATCAAAACCATGGGTGGATCACTGTGAAGCTGCCCTAATGAACCACTTCCCTTAGACCAGGGTGAAAACTGTAATCCTAGGTGGACTTGCTTTATGGCCGCACATCCGATCACTGTCCAAACTGTGGCACCTTCACCTCTGGAACATTTTCAAAGTTCACCACCTGCTTAACAAATGACATCACAAAGCTTCTAATTCACTTCCTTGTTATCTCTCACCTCAACTATTGCAATTCTCTCCTTGTTGACCTACCTCTACACAAACTAGTCTCATGAATGCCCCTGCCAGACTCATCCAACTATCCAACCACTCAGTGCGTACCAAGCCTCCTTGTCAATCCCTCCACTGGCTTCTCCTCACCAAACGCATAAAATTCATAGTACTAACAATAACATACAAAGCCATTCACAATTCTGCCCGCAGCTACATCATCGACTTCATCTCAAAATATCACCCAGACCATTCTCTTTGCTCCTCCCAAGACCTCCTGCTATCTAGCCCCCTCACCTACTCCCATGCTCATCTCCAGGATTTCTCCACAGCCTCTTCCTTTCTCCAAAACTTTCCACCTCAATCCATCTGGCCCATCTTATATTCTGTTTGCCTTCAAGCAATCCTTGAAAACACATCTCGTTAGGGAAGCCTAACCTGTTGCTACCTTATCAACTGAGAGATTTTACCTTTTTTTATCAACTCATCCCCTCACAGTTTTTACTGTTTGTATTATTTGCCTCTCCCTTTAGACTGTAAGCGCTCATGAGTCAGGCCATCTTAAACCTCTTGTATTGAATTGAATTGTAACTGTACTGTCTACCTTAGTCTATGCAAACGACTGGCTCTATATAAACCCTGTGTAATATTATTAATGTCTAACCTTAAAGTATAAGAGCATCTTTTTTTTGCAGTTACACCTTTATCAGATTGTTCTCTGCTTCCCCCCTCTCAGGTTTATAACTAACCTATCCCCAATCCAGCAAGACTTGTACTTAGAAGTCTAAGGAAATGATGGGCTTGCAATGCAAATACATGGGCTCAAATAGAAGATTTCTGACAAGCAGTTGGACAATCTAATCAGTGATTTCTCACTAAATCAGAGACAGGAGTGTATAAACCATACATGTATACATGGGGGCGATTTTTGACCAGTTCCTGATTAACCAGACAAAATACACTCAGTAGATGGCCCTATCAGGTGGGAGGTGGGAGGAGCCAGGTGGAAAATTGACAGAGGTAAATATGTTCTTATGTGAAGTTTCATAATGTCATGCATGACATATACATTATTCAAGCAACTGATCATCCTTACAGCAATTCTACAATTGTTAGCCAAATATTTTTGATTGGTAGTATGTATTTGTAGGTTACATAATAACCTATGAAGAGCAGCTATGCTCACACTTACGGGGCTGCTTCATCTGTGGGATGTGCAAAGGGCTCAAAAGCTGATGATCACTGCTGCTGGGATTAGATGAAGTTGGGTGGGCCCTGCATTCTGCTATGAAACGTTTCTGTGATGAGTAGGTGGGTTTAGGTTCATACCAGGCGTCCTGTTGTGAAGGTTTGCTGTAATGAGGGTGGTGGGCTCAGACTCAGCCCCTGCATTTTGTTGTGTGGCAACATTCGCATCTCTGCCTTTTTTTTGTAGCTGAAGTGCATTTTAACTTTACATGTACTACTAGTCATTCCTATGAAAGACACGTTTGGCATGAAACCATACATTTTACTGTGAAGATTGCTGTAATGAAGAGCTGGGTTTAACCACATTAGGTTATGCCAAGCTGCTGAAAGAACAGCATGCTTTTATAACTAGTGTAGAGCTATATTAATGTAATGTCATCAATGAGGGAATCTGTCACCTTCTTTTTCATTTCCAAATACATTTCCATCAGTATACGGTACATCTAAATTTCATTACAGAGAAATGGTGGACCTGAGTAGGCAGAAGGTGGAGGTGATCCGATGTGTAGGTACATAAAGCAGTGATGAAAGTGAGCAGCATTGGCAGTATATAAGCAGACAATTGTGTGGGAAGTAGATAGCAGGAGGTAAGATCCTTGCACAAAGCATATCTTTTCATTCACAAAAGCTTTTCAAGGACATCTTCATAGGAAATGTACATTGTTTCTCACACGCCTGTCCACTTTGTCCTTTTCAATTATTATGCATGTGCAATTGATGGTTCTGAAAATTCAATGTTATTTTACACAGTGGTTTTTAATGGAATTTTCATGTGAATTACATTGTGGTATTTTATTCAGAATTGCATTATATATTACGTTTCAGAGTCATTCTGATATTTAGAAGTATTTTTACTCCTGGGACAAGGTTGATAATTCAGCCTTAGCATGTAAGGTTTGGTGATTCCACAACTCCCCCAAATAACTGTGCATTTATTCAAAGTAGAACTTAATTTCCTTCTCACTTTTGTTATCTTTTGTTTTGCCATTGATGCTGGCGATTTCTCTCCATACTAATAACTGTACTAGAATTTTGGCTGTGTCACAGGAAGTATCACATGGTCATTTCCTGTCTGTTTTTACTGTCATTTCGATATCCCCATGTCATTTTTCAGGCTGGGGGGTTGTGTAACAATAATCCTAAAGCTGCAAGTGGGTATTACAAGAAGTGGAGTTATATTATTAGTTTTTCTGCCAACTAACAAGCTGTTGTGAAATAAGTGGCATGCATTGATTTGAGCAAAGACAGGGAGCAAGCATCAGGCACTAGACAATGACTGCAATCTCCCCTACTGGCATTGACGACGACCCAATGCATCATGGGACTTGGAGTTGGCAGAGGCATGCCATATAACGAACAGGTGTGACAGTGGCGCCTTTCTGATCCTTCTTTCCAGTGGTTGGGCATACCTGTACTTTTCATATAAAATTGATGACATCACAGACTTTTAAAATGACAATTTTTGTGAACATAAGTAAGTGAAGCAAACAAAATCTACTAGTTTTACCAAGGCTGGGGGACTCTGATATCACTGTATACGTAAGCATGAAAGAAAAGTCACCATTACAGATAGCTTGCAGATATTTACTGACTAAAGCCTAGTACACATGATGAGAAAATCAGATGTAAAATGGAACAAATTTTCCACATTTTGTCATGTTACAACCAAAAACATAAATGTATTTTATTGGGATTTTATGTGGTAGACCAGCAGAAAGTGGCACATAATGTGAAGCGGAAGGAAAATGATAAATGGTTTTCAAAATGTTTTACAAATAAATATCTGAAAAGTGTGGCGTGCATTTCTATCCCCCCCCCCCCCTCCCGAATCAATGCACTGTAGAACCACCTTTTGCTGCAATTACAGCTGCAAGTCTTTTTGTGTATGTCTCTATCAGCTTTGCACATCTAGAGAGTAAAATTTTTGCCCATTCTTCTTTGCAAAATAGCTCAATCTCTGTCAGATTGGATGGAGAGCATCTGTGAACATCAATTTTCAAGTCTGCCACAGATTCTCAATTGGATTTAGG